AGATATTGCACTAATGGCGTCGTGACAGCTGTTCTGAAGCTTGATGCGTGTGAGTACTGACGCGCATAGTATCGCACATGCGCACTAATAGGTAAACCGAGGATAGAAAGGTAAACCGAGGATAGAATGTATCACTTGGGTCTCAGATAGAATGGATAGAATCCGAATTTTGGGCCTAGGCAGGATAAAAAATATCTTGTGCTACTGTGTATGTTGTGTTTCGACGCCACTTGATAGCCATGACTAGGAGGTTATTGATCAAGTGCTTCTTCGGTATGTCCTTAGGGATGAGGGTAACCGTTTGAGGTGCAACGACATCTTGCGTCAAATTTCTTTGAGCCGGAGAGGTATCGACATTCATATTGGCATCAATCAAGTCATGATCGTGCTCCAATTCAATCTTATAGCAAGAAACAAAATTGCAGTTATTTTGAATGAACTATTTTTCCAGAAAATACAATCAAATCAAGATGTTCTGGCCAAATGTCAGCAGATATTATACTTTGGTGCTAGATTTGATCAAAACATGGCAGGATCTGATCAGAACTGACATTTACGAGCCAAGTTCTACAAAATTAATTGTACTAGTGCTATATTTGCCTAGTAAATGTTAGATCTGATCAGATTTAGCTATTTTTTAACCAAATACCACACTAGATTACTAGATCTGGCGTTATCTGGTTCAAACTTGGCTGAATCTGATCTGATCTGACATTGGCTGACCAAAGATCACTAAATCTAATAAAATGGTACCATATTCGGTTAGTAAGTGTCAGATCTGATCAGATTTAGGAATTTTGGAATAAAATACCGCTAGATCTAATATTGTAGTGCGATATGTGGTTCAAAAATGGCTAAATCTGATCAGATCTAACATTTACTAGCCAAATTTTACTAAATTGATTGGACTCGTGCTGTATTTGTCTAATAAATGTCAGATCTTATCAGATTTAGCAATGTTTGAACCAAATACCACACTAGATTACTAGATCTAGCGGTATTCAATCCAAACATTGCGGAATCTGATCAGATCTGATATTTACTGACCAAATACTGCCAAATCTAATAGATTGGTCCTGTATTTGGCTAATATATTAAATCAAAATAGTGACTTTCGACTATGAAATAGTGACTATTCACTATTTAGTAGTGAAAAGTATACCACTATTTGAATTAGTGGTCTACTTTGCACTGCAAAAGTAGTAAATAGTCACTATTGTGGACCCTAGTCACTATTTCGATTTAAGAGAGTAAGTAACAAATCTGATAAGATTTAGCCATGTTTGAACCAAATACCACACTAGATTACTAGATTTCTGGGAATTTTATTCAAATATGGCTGGATACAATCAGAACTTACTTTTAATTTATTACTTACTCCAATTACCTGATCCTGTGTCTTTTTATCTGCCAGAAGTTGTTCATTTGAATATTGTTTATTCTGCGACTCCTAGTTGATGCAATTTTTCAGATATCTAATGCTATTGTCATAATCCGTTAAAAGATTATGGAAATCGTTTTGGTGATCCTGAGATTTGAATTATCATGAATATTTTATGAAAATCGAAAAATTTGATACTTGAATGAGAGTTAATGATACTTACGCTTGAATACGAGACTTGAGTCGCCATCTAGATTGAGTTCTTGCTGGGATTTTAGCCGAACTTCCAAAACTATTATATTTTTTATAAGGTCTACGTTTTTTTTTCTTTTATTGATAAAAATTTTTGCTTGCTCATTTTTGTCATCCAAAATTTTGGGAGACATCACCACCGTATTTGTTTGGACCTTTTGAAAACATTTTTTAACTATTTCTTCAATTATCCTCAGTCACTATCGCGTTGAATTTAGTTTTGCGAGAAAATTACAATTATAAACGTGAACATATCTTTACATATCATGCGCAGATTAGTTAACAAAAAAAAAGTTGAATGTCAAATAAAAACATTACTTATTTGGGGTTCGCTGATCTGTCAGAAGTTATAAGTCTGTATCCAAAATTTTTCCTTTTTGAGTGCTGAATTTAAGGATAATAAAAGTTGTTTTAATTTATTTTATAATGAAGCCAAAATTTGCACTAGTTCAGTGGGTAGGTGGTGAATATGACCAGACCTATACCGCAGGTATTCCGATTGAATGGATTTTGGACTTTGAAGTCAAAAAATTCAATCCCGAGGAGGAACTTGAAGACTATTCTACATCATTGAATGGCGAGAAAGCAAATCAGGAAAAATGCCGAAGCGTGGATGGAAATATTACGATGCAAAGGTAGTTCGAGTATCACGTAAGTGTACTTTTTAAAACTCTGACATCCAGCATTTACATGACCGATGATTAATTGTTCCTGAATGTTTCTGACTTTATTTCGACTTTCAATAATTGAGTCTTCATTAGATTTCGATATTTTTAGTTCATTACAGGCCATTCGTATTATTTCGTTCTTTCTCTAGATCGTATCAAATCATTGGAAAATCAGATCCAGATTTTGGAAGGTGTTGTTTCACCGCTGCGCCCGGCAACTGCTGAGAGAAAATCCGAACAGCCTGTGGCAATAAATTTGGATTCGTTGTACGATGCCGTCGAAGAAGAGAACGAAGTTGCAGTGAAGTTAAATTCGACTCCGAAGGTAAATGAATTTGTAATAAGCTAAATTTTTATAATTTAGCGAGGTTAGAATAGTTTTAATGACTGTATGTGTGATGTAGGAAGCGACAAAGACTAAAAAACGGAAGGAAAAAGGAGACAACAACGAAGCGGAAACTATTCATCAAAATGAAAGTCAAAAGAAGAAAAAAAAGAAAAAGCCACCGGACCAAAAATCCAGCAATCAGCAGATGGAGAATGACAGCATCATTCAATTTTTAGATTCGCCAACTCATTTCGGAGGTACAGATTCGACATCTTACGGTTCAACGCAAGGGAATCTCATATTTTATTTGCTGTTGAATATAGTGGAGTTGGATTAAATGTGACATCAATCATTGAAATACAACACCAGTCTATTGAATTTGGTAATATTCAGCCAGTGAATTTCAGTTCAAGTCAAACTCAGTCATTTTTGGATCAAATATCACTAGATCTTGTGATCTAAAACTGTATTTGGTTCACACATGGCTGAATCTAGATAGATCTGACATTTGTTAGCCAATAACAGCACCAATCTATTAGAATTGGAGAAATTCGATCGATAAATGTCCGATCTGATCAGATTCAGCCATGTGTAAACTAACTACAGCATTAGATCACAAGATCTAGTGATATTTGATACAAAAATGGCTGAATTTGACCCGAACTGACATTTAGTAACCAATTATAGCACTAATCTGTTAAACTTGGAGCTATTTGATCAGTGAATGTCAGATCTGATTGTTATTACAACTTTTAGCTCGATTTTAAATATTTGACAATTATATTTCATTATTTCAGGAAGAACCTGAGGACTAGTGGTCATGACAGTTTTGGGGTCGAGGCAAAGTTAATAGTGTTTTTTGTTTTTAAGTTGATTGTTTTTCCTTTGCTCCTATTGAATAAAATAAAATACTCGTGTTAAAAAATCAAATGTATTGTTTATACAGTTCATTTAAATAAAGTGATATTAATTGTTGTATATAATCCAAAACCCATTTTTTACTCTAAGAACTTTGTTTACATCTTGGTGCAGACTCATTTCAAACTTAATTTTGGTGAAAAATTGGTAAGATTTTAAATATATTAACTAGCAACTGCCAAAACACTAGCTATAAATCAGTTATCTGAACCATGCACTTGACCTGATGCTGAGCCTGATCCTGATTTACTTATTCGTCAAAAAATAAATGTATCTGGTCAGAAAGAGTTGGATCTAATCCGAGATTTTTTCATCTGGTCAGGTTTTTGAACGTGCTGAATACTATAAGTTATAAAATATATATAATGTCATACATTTTGTTGATATATATGTAGATATAAGGCTAACAATATATATTGTAATTGTATATTGCATATTTATAAACCGAAAGTATAAAAAGAATATATGTGGAATATATGGACTACTTATAATTCTCAAGATACAGAGTTGCAAATAATGCATTAAATTTCTTAATGCATTAGCATTTTCATTGGTCATTAAATTTAATTTATTAATGAAAAATATTTTCATTAAGGATTAAATCTAATTTTTAAATCGAAATAATTTTCGTTGACCATTAAATTTAATTTTTTAATGAAAAATATTTTCATTAATCATTAATTTTAATTTGCTAATTATAAATATTTTCATTACCCATTAAAAGTAATTTTTTAATGGTGAATTTTCCCATTGATCATTCGATTTAATTTTAATTAAAGTATTGTCATTCATAATTATGAATTATAATTGTATGTAATAGTGTTCGGACTCCCTTCGCCGAGCGCATCACCATTTTTTTTTACTCGAAACAATTTTATTTAAGAATAAGGAAAATCCGGATGAAGATGTACTGATTATTAAAACGATGTAATATAAAAAAATAACTTTTTATATCCAATTAGTGAATATTAATTTTGAATGAAATTATTTTTCAAAAAAACATCTGACAGCAAATCGACTGTAGCCCTAGAGCGTTCGAATTTTGTTTACTTGCTCTGTTTTTTCTTTATTATTCACATTTTCTAAAATATGAGTTCTACTGAATCAATATGGTTTCATGAAGAATAGAGGCACTGATGATGCCTTAGCTTTTACCTCTAACTTTATTTACAACAATTTGGATAAAAACCTAGCTACCGTGTTAGTTTCTTGGATCTTGCTAAAGCTTTTGACACAGTGAATCATAAAATTCTTCTAAATAAACTATGGCGTAAGGGAATAAGTCTGCCTCATAAATTGATTGATAATTATTTATCGAATAGAGAGCAGTGTGTCAAAATAAATAATTATACTAGTGATTATAGATCTGTGAAAATTGGGGTTCCTCAAGGAACTATTTTGGGACCACTTCTTTTCATTTTGTATATTGATGATATATTTAATATTGTACCAGCGAATGCACTAGTTTCTTATGCTGATGATACAGCAGTCCTGTGCAGTGGAAGTAGTTGGCAAGTAGTTCGTGAATGTCTGACTGAATGGTTAAAAAAATTAGATAAGTGGTTAAAAGACAATAAGCTAACGCTTAATGTTGATAAGTCTACATACATTACTTTCGGAAGCTACATTGAAAGTGTTCCCACTAATTTTCATTTGTTTATTAAAGATAGAAAACTGAAAAGAGTAGAAAGCTGTAAATATTTAGGGGTTGTGTATGACTGTCATATGAAATGGAACAAGCATGTAACTGAGCTGATTAAAAAAGTCAAGTATTTCACTTTTTTATTCTATAAATTAAGTAATTGGCTACACCCATCTATACTGAAAACAATATATCATGGTCTATTCGAAAGTGTTATAAACTATGGAATCATTGCTTGGGGTGGTGCATATGAGAATACGATGAAACCTATTATAAATTTGCAGAATAAATTGATAAGTAAAATGAAAATAGAAAATGAAATGTTAGTACCTTTAAAAATTAACCAGTATTTTGTTGTGAGTGCGCTTACTTATTATTTTACAGATTGTAAATTAATGCACTCTGAGAGGTTTATAAATACACGTAATAGACAGATAACTTTACCAAAAATTAGTAAAACTCTAAGTACCAAAAATGCGTTTTTTGTGGCAATAAAATATTTCAATCTAATTCCCAATAATCTAAAAGCTCTTGAATGCAAAAAGAACTTATTAAGCAAGAATTTTGGGAGGTGGATTAGATCTATTGAATTATAAATTAAGATACTATATTAAATAGCAAAATATTGTATATTTAGTCGTAAGGAAACTTATACTTTGTACATTGTATTGGCTAATGAATTTTTTAACACGATTTATATATAATTATATATTATTGTATTTTTCTGGTGTCTATGCACAGGTGTTATGCACCTCTACAGAATGTATATCAGAAGTAAAATAAATATTATAATAAAATTATAATAGACATTATGTTCACACTTTGAAAAAGAAGAAGACTGAATAATAGAGACACTTGCCGCCCAGTACTTTGTTGAAAAGTTTTATTTATGACTTTTAAATCGACAGGTGGCTGAAAGTGTCACAATAAATCATTTTCGTCTTCGGCTATTTTTTCAAGGATTTTCTAAATTTTTGAAAAACCTTGCTCCAATTAGGTCAGGTAGAAGGTAACGGATCAAGCATAAAAATGATTTATTGATATAGAGTAAAATGAGATATCATATATCCTATCAGTGTTTCAAGTAAAATGAAGCATCGTTTTTTTTTTTACATGTATTAATAAAGTTGCTTTATGTGATGAAAGTTACAAAATAAATTCAATATGCATACTAATAAATGAGAAGACATAGTTTTTGACCGACCCAATCGAAAAAACTGTAAAGCCAAGAGACATTAAATATTTGTTATACCACTTTCAATTCTTTTTTTCTTCTCAATTTTTCAAACTCCGAGGTGTCTCATAGATTTTCGAAAATCCTCAAAATTTTTTTCCAATCGATAAAAATATGATAGTATGCCCGGGAAAAAATGTTCAGGACTGATCAGACCTGTTCATATCTGATCAGACCTGAAATCCGACCTGAAATCCTGTTCAGGTATGATCAGGCCTGAAATTAGGCCTGATCAGACCTGTCCATGTCTGTTCATGCTTGTTCATGTCTGAACCGTTAGATACGCTCAGACCTGATCAGACCTGATCAAGCCTGTTCATCCTTGCTCATGTCTGTTCTATAACGGGATTTCGCCTGACCCGGGGATTTACCAAGCCAGGCTCACCATTTATATTGAAATTTTGGCTTACTTAAAAAAAATTATCATAAATAAAAGGGCGCCAGGAGAATGATCTCCAACTAATTACTGCTTCGACTTCGGCTAGCTATTACTTCTTCTTCAGGGCGGCGGGCCATGCTGAAATACTCGTCGTTAAAAAATAGGACAGCTAAATAAACGAAATTCTTAAAATTACTTGAAATAAATTCAGGAGAATTAAAAAAAATAAAAATTTATTCAACAAAATGTACGTCGGCAGTCGATATTCATTTTTAACACAAATTATTAAACGTCGTAAATTAAATTTGCACTTAATTTTACCAAAATTAAAATTAATAAACGTCATTATCTCATTCAATTCTTATTCTCATATTCATACATCGGCAATCACACTATGTAATAACAGCATTACAAAAAAAATAATCGTAAAGCGTTGAATCCTCGCGTATTATTTTGTAAATCAAAATATTTTACAAAATTACAACGTGGACTCTAAACGCTGGATTCAACACTGAACAAGAACGTCGGCTTACCAAGAAATTGAGCGTCCTCCTCATCTTGGAAAGCAGCTTGGAAAGCTTCGTGCGGTCGACTCAAATAAATCATGAATTTAGAAAATAAATACTCAATACAAATTAAAATTAATTTCAAATTAACAAATCGCGACAATACTTCGAAATTAATTTTAGGTTGCGGAGCGCGCAAAAGCGCGTCCGTGTACGTCGACAGTCCAGCCTCGAATCGTCTTCTTCATGGAGAAGTACCTACTTCTTCCTTCATTGAAGTTGGCGGCGCCAGTCTTGATTTCCATTGGAATTGATCCCCGTCGATAGTTGATCTAGGTCCGTATAACAGTCAACGGACCTTCACGACAGTTTTTAGTCACCTCTGCTCCTGCAGTACTGACTAACCAACTGTCATCGATGTTGATCGTCGTATTGGAAAATAGCGGCACTGCAGCGTTGATCGGTATCCAGGCGTCTCGGGCGTTTACGGCGCTCGGTGCCTCGCTCGCTTCGGTACTCGCTTCGGTACGTCGTAACTCCATCCTTGTCGCTCCAATACGTAGCATTCATTCTACTCGCTGATACTCGTTCTGTCTTCGTTACTCGTCCAGCGTTACGTATTTTACACAAAAAAAATTCATAAAATTATTACAATCTT